CACCTCCTGTCACCAGCTAACACTCATCATGTGCTCTAACGCAGCGATGGTCTCTGCAGATCATCTTTACTGTTTCGTTTCAGTGACCACGTGGTGACGGCCCGTCGGCCTCATGACGGTCGGTCAGGTGACCATCAGGTCACCAGCAGCTGTATGTTCTGACTGGTTGGTGAAACTGGTCACAGGTATGTAGTGAGTGCTTGTTAGTCTGCAGTTTGCATGGAAGATGCTGACGTGTCTGCACACACCTGTTGGCCACGCCCCCTGCAGAACTGATCATGTGAGAAGCGCGACTGGAAACACAACGTTCCCCTTCAGAGTAAAAGCTGCACCTTAAATGTGTTGAGGCGCAGCTTTTACTTTGAAGGAAAAAGTTCTCCAATTCCAGACGGGACACACTTCCCACAGCTCGGAGGAAACTGCTAAGTCAGCATATTCCACGCAAACTGCGAGCAACCCTGGCGATCACGGGGAAGTCACGTAGCAACAGCTAACAGGAAGCACTCACCGACCAATCAGGGAGCACGCTCTGTGTTTTAATCTGGTGACTGGAAGTGGAATCATGTTTAATGTGGTGGACGAATCTCAGCAGTGAGTGATCATAAGTGATAATTAACGTTTATATACTGTGGAATCTATGTGTCTGTATTTTAGCTCAATAATAAGGAAAAAACAGAAACTGTGGGAATGTTGTTACCCGACGATAACGCCGACGTGCTTCTTATTCAGGTGAGAAACTGAGGATCCAAACCAGAACTTCCCAAGTGTAAAACATTAAGACGCAAACGTGTATTTGGATGCACTGTGAGGATTGAACGAGCCTCAGTCTCACTCCGTCCTGAGGCAAACACAGCAGAGCAGAAACATCCCAACGAGGCTCCACAGAGAAAAGTGCAGACTTAGGCCATCGCACGCCAGGACTTCCACATGCATCCACACAACATTAAAACTAAGTATGATGCATAAAACAATAAAACATAAAAACAATGAGAATCCAACACTTTGTAGAAGCGTCAGACGCGTGAAGAGAAACCGATGGTCGAGCTTAGGAAAGCCTTTCCTCCAGTGTCGTCTCTAAGAAACAACACCAGGCAGAAACGATGAGTGAAAACAGACCGATGTGTGAAAACAGACCGATGTGTGCGAGCTGTTGATGATGGCGCACTAACCAGGAATCCCCTGCTGCAGGACGGTCGATACGGCAACAACTAAGACTGTTTCTTCTTAAGACTCACAGCTTTGTGCTGCACACACACACTTCAGTATTTCTTGCTGTCAAGCTTCAGCCCAGTCACACCCAAGTTAGCATACAGGTAGCCAATCAGCTGATAGACAGATGACAGACAGGTGACCTCTGTCTCCACCCTCAGTGAACCAGCCTAAAGACGACATGTTGCACAAACCAACAGTTTCTACTCAAACAGTCTTCAGGTTTTCAAATCACGGTTTCAGGGACAACATACGTTTGTTCAAACCTGGTGAGCTGGCAGATCTCCCACTTACACCTGTACAAATAATGTGATGTACATTCAAACCATTTCCCGGGCGGGTGAGTGGGAACTACAACAGGATGGTCGTTCATCCTTCAAAAGCAAAAGGAAATTCCTTCGTAGCTCCACAGCCGAACAGCTGGCAGCACTAGTGTGTTTTCTGTGTGGCACTCACTAAATATTCCCACACACTGAACTTTGGTCCGTGGTACATTTACAACAACAGGTACAAAGAAAAGTCTCCTTATGGTGAATAATGGCTGAGCGTCCAACAACGATGAATCACATCCGTGTGTCGAGACGTGTCCGTCTCACGCTCCTACAAAGTGCATGTTTCTAAAGCATGTAAGGTGCAGGTAGGCAGCTCTGTGATGACTGAGTGGTCAAGCTGAACAAGCACAGGGAAGCCACAGGTACCAGATGTCCATCAGCACCGTCTGCTGAGGAGGACGACTCGTTTTAACCCCGAGGGGCAAAGTTCAGGGTGGTTTCTAATGTCTTCAGCTACTACATAATCTACTGCAGGCCTCTGCCCAGTCGTTTCCTGGGAGCGGGCAGGCTTCAA